TGTGTGTGTGTGTGTGTGTGTGTGTGTGTGTGTGTGTGTGTGTGTGTGTGTTTCCTGTTTGGGGCTGACGATCTTATGGTCTCTTTCTGAGTATTTTCACTAGTTTTGGAACTCTGATAATCACCATCCTCTGTAAGTAGGAACATCTCTGATAAAAGCTAAGCGGTGCAGTAATCTATTGGTATAACAAGAATTAATACCAAGACTATTTAGCGGAACACTGTCAGCAGGTTCTCCCCTTAGGTTGTAGGTCTGGTCTATCCACAGGTCCTTTACTGGGTAATGGTGCCAGGTATTGGTTTCATCTTTTGAAACTGAACTTAATTTCAATCTGGAAGGAGATGGCTGCACCCAAGCTCTTCATGTCTGTGTTACAGATAGGTATATGGATTGACAGACCAGTCATTCTTGTAGATCACAGAGTTTGCAGTTACTTAAAGCTGATACAGCATTTTATCTTCCAGTAGTGTGCGTAACACTTTACAGCACTTAGAAAGCTGAGTAATAGGGACGTAGCTTACATGTCAGTACAATCTTGAGTTCACCGGGATCTCTATTCCAACTATGTCTTTAGCAACAAGATCTTACTGTCAGCTTCCGGAAGTAAGCAATTTCACTGTAATATTTGGTGGTCTATAGAATCCCACGGGTCAAGACAGAAAGAGAGATAAACTTTTCCTGGCACTGTGCTTTCATTTGTTAGCCAGTGGTATCTACTATAGATATTGTTGGCTCACTATAGAGTAGCTTCCTGTGTGTGTGTGTGTGTGTGTGTGTGTGTGTGTGTATGCAACCTCTTTAGTATTAAACTAAAAAGTTCTCTATAGTATAGAACACCATCATTCAAGTAAGAGGGGCCTTCAATTACAGGATAAAACTTACTTCTATACAAGAATAAGAAGGTTTGTATCTAGAATTCACAGAAATTAAAAATTTAACATAAAAAAACAACCCAATATTAAATAAAGGATGGAACCACACAGGCTTATTTCAAATGATGAAATATAAATTATAGAGAAACAATTTGAAAATATTCATTATCATTAGTCATCATAGAAATACAAATCAAAATTTCTTTGGAATTTCTTCCTATTGTTGTCAAATGGCTAAAATGGAAAACACAAGTGCTAGTGTGGACTTGAAGAAAGAGAAACATTTATATTCAGTTGGTGGGAATATAAACTGTTGCAGCCACTGTGGAAATTGGTGTAGCATTTCCTGATTTCAAAACAAACAAACACATAAACCTAGAAACACATATTCTATGTGATCTAGCTATACCATCTTTAGACATAAACCAAAGATCTCTTTACTCTATTAATCTGATTGTCTATGATCATTACTGTGTTTTTTAATATTTCCAGAAAATATTAAAGAGACAGCCTTGATGTCCATCTACAGATAAATGTATATTTAAAGGATATTACATTTACACAATTGAATATAACACATCTGTTAAGAAAAATGAAACTGAAAATTGCAGTTGAAAAGGTTAAACTGGCACACGGAGTTGAGACCTGAAAGCTGAATGTCATGTATTTGGTGGATGTTAGCTTTGAATGTTCAATACCTGTTCCTTTTGGAATACACTATATAATGTTATAAAAGTTTTGTGGATTTAATTTTACGTGTATTCCTTTTATTTAAAATGTATGTATTGTTTCAGACACAGGCACTTTCCTTATAGCTCTCTATATACGACTGGTTTTGTTTAGTAATGACCACAATTATATCACTGACAGTATTTGTGGTTCAAAAGAATTACGGGCATGACACTGTAAAATCACAGGAAAATCTCCTCCTGAAAGTGTCCAATAGCTATGTGTACCATAATGTCACTTCATTTACATATATTTGTCTCTGTGTCAAACTCCCTGACTAAGTGCTTAACTAAATTATTTTATTTTATATAACATATATTTTGGTAACAATTATGAAAAGTTCAGGGTTTAAGTCTTTCAATGATGTTTTTCCACCCTTCATACTAATACCCCTTCCATGACCTATAAAACGAGACAATGTGCACATGGCTTATTTTAAGAGGTCTACAAAACTGTGCATATATGTTTGTTTGGTTTTTTTTTTAGAAGACTATACTGATAATTTCACTCAAATTTTGTGATTGTCATGAATATATATTCTGAGGAATAATCTGGCTCTTGTTAATCGAGATTCTGTGAGTAGATACATGTATGTAAATGTCAATATGTATATATGTACATATGTATGCATGCATGTATGTATGTATGCGTGCATTTTTGTTCCATGTATGTGTGTAGTGTAAGAACAAATGTGTTTCAGTAGATGATGTATATGTGGAGATGGCAAGACATTAAGTCATGTCCTTTGCGCTATCTACCAACTGTGTTCCCAGGAAATTGTTTCTCATGAAACATGTAGCCAGGCTGACAATCACTAAGTCACAGTAACCCTCATGTATCCTACCTTGTAGTACTAGAGTGTAGGAATGAGAACATGTTCAGACACTTACATGGGTTCCAGGTATTTTAACTAATTCTCATGCTTGCACAGCAAGCAGACATCCACCATCTATTAGTCAAACTCATAAAGATCATAGTTAATGAAGTTCATGAAATCTATGGTTTCTCTGCTAAGCTAATGACCAAAATTTAGAAGGGAATGTATAAATACTTATCTTGGTTTATCGACTCAACCATAATGCCTTTCACAGTTACACCTATATGACCTTCACATTGGCTTTCAAAGGGAGGCACATGACACACATAGTTTATGCATAGAAATAGTCTTATATTTTCTGTTAATTTTAAAAGCAAGATGTAATAAAACAAAGTGCTTAGAAATAAATCCATTAACATAAGATGGCAACTACCCATCAGACAACAAATAAATAACCAGCTATTAGTTTATTATTCATGAGAAAGAATCAAGTATAATCAAGAAAAGAATAACTTAAAAGAAAGAGAAATAACTGACCTTTTGTTGGGTAATAAAAATCTAATATATGTAAAAATTAGAAAATTATGTAAAGATTTATATCGTCTGACAGAATCATGGACTATACTCAATGAACTACGTGAAGAATGATCTACAGACTTCGAAATTATTTTAGATTCATCATTTGACCATGGGATCCTGAGGTGAAAGTACAATTATCTCAGCTATGAATCCTTGTGTGTCCAGTCATTCACAGCACTCGTGATATTTTCTGAAGCACAGTGCAGAGATGTGTGACACCACAGTGCCTGTGGTTTCCCAACAACAACCCAGGTGTATAAAAGGCCCTTGGCAGATGGTGACACCCAGACTCCAGGAACCTACTGTTTGTCTTCCTCTGAACACTCCACTCCTGACACCATGTGTTACTATGGCAGATATTATGGAGGCCTGGGCTATGGCTATGGTGGCCTAGGATATGGCTATGGCTGTGGCTATGGTGGCTATGACGGCTATGGTGGCTATGGTTATGGCTGCTGCCGCCCACTGTGCTGTAGAAGATACTGGTCCTGTGGCTTCTACTGAGGAGTTTTGATGCTGCTAAATCCAACTTTCTCCATCTCAGATGTTCTTACATATTGTCATGAATTCCAACCTTAATTAAAACTCTCTGAGAAATAATAAACAAAACACAATATGCCCACCCTGTTCCTCTTCTTTAATTAAATTCATGACTATTTGCAGTAAAGCTCTTCATTATCATCATAATGCCTTATAAAATATGTCTCATTTTTTTATCTTTTCCCTATATGTGAATATATATTATTATAAATAAATTACTTATTTCAAAATACTTTTTCTTATTGTTTTACTTAATGTGAGGTGTATGTTTGTGATATCTGCTTGGTTGTAAATGTGTGATTGTGAATAAATTTGGAAAGTAGCAGAGAATGAATAAGAGCAAAATGGGGAGAGAAGGAAAATTTCTCCTCAAAGAGCTTTCTATTGTTAGGCATTTGTACTATCCTTGTATTTATGGTATTGTCATGTAGCAATGAATAGGAGAGTACAGATACTTTTAGAGATGAATCCTTTTGTCTGCCTCTTAAGTTTAGAGAACTAAAAGAAGTAGTTATATAAATATCTTGCACTCTCAACAGCACCTTCGATAATGAGGGTCACCATGCCCAGTCTCACTCTGTTTGGGCCTCCCTTTAATCATGTATTCTCTAACATCCATTTTCTTTCTAATACCCATTTTATTATTATAAGAAACAATCTCATTGTGACTTTGACTTACTATAATAAAAATTAAACTTTGCTGATCTGTATGTTTTCTTTAGAAAGATGTTTATTTTGATTTTCTATTTTAATATCAGTTAAATTTCTTCATGCTGTTTGTTTTGTAAATAGTTCAAATGAATTTATTTTTTGTTTTTTGTTTTTGGCTTGCTATTTTTGTATAGAACAGTATGTTATTATCCTGCTAATGGCTTGTTTGTCTGTTTTTTAAAGAATCTCTATAATTTTTTTGGTTTTTGTTTTGTTTTGAGAATATACTGTGAATTCAATCTAAACTTGTGTTCATTTTATGTACGCATATTTGAAGCATATTCTGGGAATTGTATGTAGACTTTCTGTGAGTTAGTCTGTGTATTTGCATGTGTTTCATATGTGAACTTGCCTTGCTTATGGATGTGTATATTTTTGTGTGTTGTATGTGTGTGGTGTCAGCACCCAGGTGTCTGAGTAAATGAATGGATGTGTGGAGTTGCATAATGATCTGGTGGTATCATGGTCTTTGCTCTATCTATTGCCTTTGATGTTCTCAGAGACTGTGTCTTCTGTGAAACAATCTGCTGGGCTGACAACAAGTATGACATACTAATCATCTCGGATTCTACCGAAGAGACGTGGGGCATAGAATGTGAGCACACTCAACATTTTACTTGATACTTAACTTGGTTCAACCACTCAACCATAATGCCTTTCATACTCACACCTATAAGACCTTCACATGGACTTTCAAATCAAAACACATAACACATATACTTCGTGAATATAAACTAACATTTTCTGTCTATTTTAAAAACAAGATGTGATAAAACAAAGAGCTAAGGAATAAATCGAAACACATTAACAAAAGTTGGCAACAACTGACCAAGTAACAAACAACACAGCCAATAATACAGATATTTTTCCCATGAGAAAGTATCAAGAAACATGATCTTCTATATAAGATTAATTTAAAATAACAATAATAGGTGGTTGCCTGTTTCCTGATCTGGTGGGGTGACGTAGTCAGACAACAGAAGAAACGGATGCAGGCAGTCCTGATGGGACCTGATAGGCTAGAGTCAGACAGTAGAGAAAGACATCTCCCATTTTCAGTGGACTAGGGGAAAGGGATTGGAGAGGAAGAAGGAGGGAGAGTTGGAAAGGGAGGAGATGATGGAAGGTACTACAACCTGGATACAAAGTGAATAAATTGTAAATAATAACAATAATAAAAATAATAATAGAAAAACATCAAAGAAATATCAAAGAAGGAAAATCTGACATTTTGTGGGGTAATAAAAACCCAACACATATACAAAGAAGAAAAATATGTAATGATTTATATCATGTGATAGAATCATGTGCTGTATCAATAAAGTGCATAAAGAATGAGATGGAGACCTGAAAGGTACACCTGATTTATTAAATGACCATGGGATCCTGAGAGAGGAGCACAAGTATCTCAGCTATGCAGCCTTGTGTGTCCAGTAATCCATAACACTCGTGATGTTTTCTGAAGCACAGTGCAGAGATGTGTGACACCACAGTGCCTGTGGTTTCCCAACAACAACCCAGGTGTATAAAAGGCCCTTGGCAGATGGTGACACCCAGACTCCAGGAACCTACTGCTTGTCTTCCTCTGAACACTCCACTCCTGACACCATGTGTTACTATGGCGGATACTATGGAGGCCTGGGCTATGGCTATGGTGGCCTAGGCTATGGCTATGGTTGTGGCTGTGGTTATGGCTATGGCTGTGGCTATGGTGGCTATGGTTATGGCTGCTGCCGCCCACTGTGCTACAGAAGGTACTGGTCCTGTTGATTCTAGTGACGAGTTCCTGCACCTGTCACCTCAAGTTTCCTCAGATCAGAAGTTCTTAAATAATAAGTTCATAAACTCTAATAAATAACTTCATAAATTCTAATTGTTTATTAAATGATTTGAGTAAAAAATAAATAAAGCACATGATCACCCTGTTTCTCATGTTTAATTTTACTACCTGAATATTTTTAATAAAATTTTTATTTTTATATTAATTGCAGTTTATTCATTTTGTATCCCAGCTGTAACCCCATTTCTCATTCCCTCTGAATACCGTCCTTCCTCCCTCTTCTCCTCCCATGTGCCTCTCCAAGTCCACTGAGAGGGGAGGTCCTCCTCCCCTTCCATCTCAGCCTACCTTATTAGGTATCATCAGGACTGGCTGCTCTGTCCTTCTCTGTGGCCTGGTAAAGCTGTTCCACCCTCAGGGGGAGGTGATCAAAGAGCCAGCCACTGAATTCATGCCAGAGACAGTCCCTGTTCCCCTTACTAGGGAACTCACTTGGATACTGAGCTGCCATGTACATCTGAGCAGGGGTTCTATGTTATCCATGAATGGTCCTTGGTTGGAGCATCAGTCTCAGAAAAGACCACTGTGCCCAGATATTTTGGTTCTGTTGCTCTTCTTGTGGAGCTCCTGTCCTCTCCAGGTCTTACAATCTCCCCCTTCCTTCATAAGATTCCCTGCACTCTGCCACACAGCAAAGCTCTTCATTATCATAATGCCTTGAAGAATGTGCTCTACTTGCACTTTTACCCTTTTAATAAACATATATGCTTTTAAATAAACTATTTCCTTGAAAATATTGTTTTCCTACACTTTTCCTAAATGTGGAGAAATGTTTATGTATTTACATCTGTTTCATTACATATGTGTCATGGGATATAAATGGGACAGTAGTTAAGGAGAGAAAAGGAAAGACAGAAGAGAAAAAGAAATGACAGAAGGAAGAGAAAAAGAATGAGCAAAAAGGGAAAGAAAAGAAAAAGGAAGGAAGGAAAGAAAAAAGAAGAGAGAGAATGTTCTCTTTAAACATTCTTCTATTGGTAGATGTTTATATTATCTTCTTATTGCTGCAACTGTAATGTCACCATGAATTCAGGAGATCAAACTCTTTTTTTCCGCTAGGAAAAGTTTGAGAATTACTACAAGTTGCTTCTCTAAATATCCTGAAGATAGTATCCAAATTACCTTCTATGGATTGTCACCACACCCATTCCAACTATGTACAGGCTTCCCTTAACTTCACTAATACCCATTTTCTTTATAATATCTATAATACCAACTCTAGAGAATAATCTTATTGTGACTTTCAGTTATGATTTGAAAATTCACCCTTGGTGATCTGTAGATTCTACTTTGAAAAAAAAATGGTTTAGGATAATTCTTTAACAACTATAACATCAATTTATTTTCTTCATGCATTTTATTTGTACATAGTTCAAATAAATTTTGGTTATTGACTTCCTACTGTTTGTAGAGTATGTGGATCTTTCTTATCTGCAGAACTTTCTAGATGTCCACAAGCAGAATTGACTGTTGTGGTTTTCTTGCTTGTGCTTTTGGAGTCACGTTCAATTATTAATAAGCAAAGAATCATATTCATTAGGTATTCTTCTTTGCTATTTGTTCTTAAAGAATTTTGTATACTGTGTTTGGATAAAATTAATTGTTTTCTCTGCCCCTTCTCAAAACAACCCCCTTTATTCCTGACAATTTTTTCCCTTAAACTCACCAAGTTCAGTTTACACTATCTATCTATCTAGATGGTTCTCTCTGATCTAGAATGTGGTAGACCTACTGAGGGCCACATCTCTAAAGAAACTGATCTCCACATACTGGCTGCTATCAAATCAAACAGCTCCTTAGTTTAGAAATTTGTGACCACTTTGCCACTTCATGTTGGGATTTTTTCTTGCTTGAGCTTCCTGTCATAACTTCTTTGTGTTTATACATGGAACTGACCTGTAATGTCTAAAAAACAATGATCCATTGTCCCTTAATACATTCCTGATCAACTCCTCTATCTCTCCACAATGTCTGTCTGTGTGTGTGTATACGTGTGTGTGTGTGTGTGTGTGTGTGTCTTATTTGGAGCTGATGATTCTATGGTCTCTTTTGTGTATTTTGGCTACTTTTGGAACTCTGTGATAAGAAAATCACCATCCTCTGTACGTATGCACATCTCTGATAACAGCTAAGTGGTGCAGCAATCTATGGATATAACAAGATCCTATAATACCAAAACTATTTATCAGAACACTACCAGCAGGTTCTCCCCTTAGGATCTAGGACCTGTCTACCCACAGGCTCTTTACTGAGTAATGGTGCCAGGTATTGGTTGCATCTTTTGAAATTAAATTTCAGTCTGAAAGGAGTACATTGCACCCAAGATCCTCATGTCTGTGTTACAGATGGGTATATGGATTGACAAACAGTGATTTTTGTAGATCACAGAGTTTGCAGTTATTTAAACCTGATG